TGGAACCTCCAGGCCTCCCATTGGCCGGGTGCTCAATGGCTCCGACCACTTTGTCACTCAGCCCTCGTGAGCCACCCTGCAATCCCAGGTGCTCCCACGCCAGGACCTTAGGTTCATCTCAGAAGAGATAGGAACCATCCATTAGAACACCTTCCGATCGAGAATCAAGTGATTAGAGAGATGGACAATTATTAAAGCATTCATTTAGTCCTACCAATTTACTACTCACTTATACATGAAGGAGATTTTAGTTCAAGTAAGATGCTATTATTATGATGCATGCTTTGGCCTACTACGTTCACTCGAGCCGAATATAGCGGCATTCATAAAAATTTTGCACGTCGCACACTCACTTTCCGTGTATACTAAGCGATTTTTTACATAGCGTAAGTCGATTGTACTGCAGTAAAAGCGATTAGATAAAACCAAATGCCGCTATCCTAGATATACCATATTGCTAGGGCTTATATTTATTTACATAATATAATGCGCATCATACTTTTCACAAACTTTGGTTGGTCAAATTTTTAAGTTTTGAAAAAGAGTGATGAACTCATAACCATTATTGGCTCTAGTACCAACTATGGCAAAACCGTCAAAATAGCACACTTACGAGGCGCTTGTCTTCCACGGACACCAAAGCACCCGAAAAGCAAGCTACGTGAGGCGGTATCCGTCGCTGGCACACCACCGAGGGGAGAACGAGAAAGATCCACATTTTTCCCAAGGATCCAATAATGAAAACGAGTTACAATACCAGTTCATTTCATACATCAGAGTTTTCTTAAAAAGGTACATTATTACAATACCAAATACCAGAGTACGGAATAATAAACAATGAATTTAAAAATAACAACTAGCGATAAGGGAGGATCCGCCGTGCCCACCGGAAGAATCCTCCACACAAGGGGTACTCCTCAAGCATCACTGCAATGAGGTAAATAAACCACGAGTACATAATATACTCATGCAAGACTTATCCAACCCGATGGGGAATAGTTTTACGACTCCAAGGAATATACTAGGCTTTATGGTTTGCTGGTTTTCTTTAGCAAAAGCAGCACTAAGAGTGAGTCCTTATTTATGTCTTATTATTAGCCGTATTAAGTTATCAGCTAGCCAATCTATATAAGCACCTATTCTACTTTCAAGTAAGAGTTGAGCAATCAGTTCCATTTCTTCTCCTTTCAACTTTCAGTTCTTACTACGATGCTGGAGTTAAGACAAGTCGTACCGACTCGGTGGCGATTCGTGAACCAATGTGCCCAGCCGGGTGCCCCAAAAACACACGCCCCGCTTGTACCCTAGGCACAAGCAGGACTAACCCACCACTCTCCTATCCGGGTGTCCGGATCCCCCGCCCAAACTTGGACTCAAAGCCTCCACCCACGAGTTCTAGACTCGGTGTGGTGCAAGGACCTCCACCAACTCTGCCTCTAATCGATCGGTCCAGAAAAGAGGTAGATCCGCGATAAGAGAGCAACAAGTCTTCCCTACGCCCATACCTAAGTATGCGCTCGGGACAATAGATCTGTGACTTGTCTAGCGTCCATTACAACGATCGGTCCTTAACTAACACAGACAGGAAAAAGATGTAACCGAGCTATGCCCTGTTGGCCGCAGGACACAACCCCTTACGCCCGCCAGTACCCAATCCATATCCCTGTCTGGTCACCAGTTCCTTTTCATCATTTTATTATGAGTGATCATATTTTATTACCTACTTGCGAGTAACGGCAGGTTACTCACGCTACCGACATCCTGAGCATAGCAACTACTCGACCTGTATTAGTAGGACTCATAGGTAGATATATTTATGCATGTAGTTTCCATAAAATACATGTAACTTAAATGCGCATCATATATATATATTCAGTGACCATAAAAATAGGAGTTATGCACCGGGGCTTGCCTTGGGTAGGCGTGATCAGGTCGATGGGAATCGGCACCAATGAGCTCACAGGCTCCCTCCGCATGAGGATCTCCTCATCGTACTCCTCGATCACCTCGTCGTACTGCCGGCCGACGTTAGCAACACTAAGTCTACCGGTTAAGTAATCTACATGCATGAAATGATAATGCAATGCTTATGAATATAACAACAACAGCTCTTAAAATAAAAGTATATCGATTTAACTACTAAGCTAGTGCTACCGACCACGGTGCTAAACTATCTGATAACAAGTTTAAAATATGACATTCATTATTATTATAGCAACTACAGATATTCTTACTCCTAATCTTTGATTTACGCTATATCTGAGAAAGCAAGGGTAATAACTACTTTATTTAGCAACTCGTTCTAAGGCTACAAAATTCACAAACAAGTACATAATATTCTATGAGCCTATCAGAAATTTTCATAGCTATAGCTATCACCATTTTACCGTAAAAATTCCTACAAATATTAATCTACATAATACTAAGCTTTCTAATTAGAATTTATGAGCCTATCATCATAACAACTAAGCTGTGAAGTAACTACACTAATGAGATAGATGGTATTTTTGTGAACCTAGCAAACTTGGTTTTATTATTTTTGAACAACTACATAGGTTACCACAATTTATCAAAGTTTAGCTAAAAACCTTTATTGAATAAACACTTCCTATCTTACTGTAATTCGGAAAAACCATTCTATTGCGCGGCCCATCAGCGTAAGAATATGACGAGGCGCAAGCGCAGCCCAGCCGTGACCAGCGGGCGCTTGCGCTTAGCGTGATGCGGACAAAGCCGGGCGTATGTCCCGACGCGATAGCGCCAGCTCCAGTCATGAGCTGGCAACATGGGATTTGAACAGGTCATGTGAAGAAGTGTGTATGCTGACCAAATGTGACACTGCGTGTGAGCAGAGGAGCTTCATGTGCCAGGAAGCGGAAGCAGAAGGCATGGGCAGTGCGAAAAGCGTAGTAGCAGCGGTATAGGCCGAGCAGTTCAAAGCGGGTCGCGGATGCTGCCCATAGCGACGTATTTCTAATGTATTCTAGATTTATTTTCCTACACGAAAGCGGCCCTAAAATAGGTGTGACGCAGGGATGACGTCAGACTGATGTCAACAAGCTAACAACAACATGATCGCACCTCGGTACGCTCGCTCGCTTGCTCGGACTGGCAGTGCGGTGGAGTTCGTCGGTACATTACCGCTAGTAGCTCGACGTAGAATAAGCGATAAGCGGATGAGTATGGCTCTTCGGAAAATGGTGGAGTGCTGATAGGCCGAAATGCAGAGGCGACGCCGTTCGGAACTTAAAGCGACCGGTGATGACGAAAACTTGAATTGCCTCCCGACATCGTACTACCGCACAGTGACAAGTTAGGCACCGACCTGTACTCCCATTAGTCCTTCACACGTGCACGAAAATATGGATGGGCCAGCACAATGGTTTGGCCGGCCATCGTCCAAGACAACGTGACGACAACTTTGCGTGCAAACATGAAAGCGAGAGCAAATTCACATGCATGCGTTCATTAGCCTTTTTGTTTAAAAAATTCGTTCAGGACATCAAGTAATATAACGTGACATGCAACGTAACATTCATTTCATGATTCAAATGAACGTTTCAAAGTTCCATATATTGATTTATACCTTATATTACATACATGAAAAAATGTTCATACAGTGTTTTAGCAAACAGCTATATAATGTAACACCGAGGGTGTTACGGTAAAGTGGGTCCATTAGTCCTAAAAAGCCTCTCCCAAAAAAACTAATAGATTGGAAACTAAAAGTCCCTCAAGTAGTCCCTCCTATTTAGTTAAAAGAGACTAAAAAATAGTCTCTAGTCCCCTAGTATTAATTTTTTTTCGCATCATTAAACATACCCACGTAGAGCAAAGGTACGCCCTTTGAGGTTTTCTGCTCAGTGCTGTTGTCAAAGCTGAAAGGCCCTTGGGCCGAAAATACGTGCCACATAGGCGGCGGATGTCACAAAACGTGTCCACCGTCCCAATGTCACAAAACGTGTCCACAGTCCCATACGGAGAACAGGAAAAGAGATCTGTGCAGTTCAGTTTCTTTATATAGAAACGAAGGTGAAACTGCAAAAATCCTCCGATTTGATTGAGTTTGACCATCTCACTATCTCAGTGAACAAACAGTAGGCGCACCCTCCGCTCGAGAGCTCGACTCCTATCGCAGAGGCGCGAGTTCCCCGTTCTGTTATAAACCTGCGCTGCGCCCTCCTGTCCTCCTCCCCCTTCGTCGCGGGATCCGAGGGGCGCGCGCTTGCGTCAGGTCCGCGAGACGCGATGCTCACGTCCATCGCGTGCTCCAAGCACCTCCCGGGCGGCGCGCCGCCGCTGCGCGAGCAGCCGGAGGAGGAGGACGACAACGAAGACCACGCCATCGCCGGAGGCGGCGGTGAATCGGCGACGACGCCCGGCACGAGGCACGCCGTCAAGTCGCTCACCGCCCAGGTTGGTCGCCGTGCTTGAGTTCTTGAAATGTTCCCCCTTTGGGCCTTTGGTGGCGATAATTGAAATCCAGTGGTTGTTCTCGGTGCCTTTGTGATTTTCTGATCATGAAATGGACCAGGGTTCCAATTGTTGTTGGTTTAGACTGAGTGGAAAATTTGTTTTTTTGTGTGTGTATCTGATCAAATGTACCTTGCCTTGGCCTGGGAGAAGTGCAAACTGATACCAATTCGGCCTGCTTTGAGGGTTTTGAGGCGTTGGAATGGTTCAATTTCTCCAAAATCTCAAAGTTTTTTGAAATGTTTGGTACAAAATTTGTTTTGACGGTGTGAACTGTGAAGTGCGAGCTGGGCACTACGATTGATGGATGATGGGAGATTTTCGTGGGTTTCAGATCAAGGACATGGCGCTGAAGGCATTGGGCGCGTACCGGCACTGCAAGCCGTGCGCCGGCTCGTCCTCCCCGGCGGCAGCAACCGTACTACCACGGCGCGTACGCGGAGTCCGGGTCCGACCGCTTCCACTACGCGTACCAGCGCGCCGGCAGCTCCGCAGCATCGACGCCGAGGCTGCGCACGGGGGGCGCGATGTCCAGCGGTGACGTCACGCCGTCGATCAGCACGCGCACCGACTTCCTCGCCGGCGATGAGGACGGGGATGATGAAGAGGAAACGGCGGCTGGCAGCAGCGAGGAGGATGAGGCGAAGGAGTGGGTCGCCCAGGTAGAGCCAGGGTGCTCATCACCTTCCTCTCGCTGCCGCGGGGTGGCAATGGTCTGAAGCGCATCCGATTAAGGTGAGGTCTTTCTCTCATTTGTGCCAAACATTTGCTCATTGGTAGAACAACTTGGTTGATACTTGCAACAGATATTAGTGCTTAAAATTCAATAAATTTGGTTTAGATTTTTAGTTTACTTTCGTTGGATGCTGTGGGCATCACCTTGTCCATTGCCCAAGCAACCGGAAAACATAGGTTTGCATCTCTGCGATGCAGAATTTTGTGCATACTGGTTTGTTATTTAAGGAAACTTGTACAATTCATTTGGTTTGTTCCTTCTGTTCCTGAATGATTGTTCTTGAGCTCTAGGATTATTTCATAAGTTTCCATGTGGGAACAGAGGAAGCAAAATGAGTAAGAAAGTTATTGGTCCGGAAAAAATTGAAGTGTCTAATCCTGGAAAAATTTAAACTTTGATCTTGTTAGCTGAATTTGGAGTTCCAATGATCCTTCGATTGAGTATTGGTTTCATATTTTTAGGTAAACGAGACAAGTATATGCTTTATCTTGCTTTTCGCCTTTGTTGTTTTGTTCCTTTTGATCTTTTCCACCTTTGCTTTCATGAGAAGTTCGGAATTTGAAAGAGGAAAAGAAAAGGAGATTGTACACTAAGAATAAAATGGAGAAGGAAGGGATAAAGACATATCTACCATTCGAAGAGTCAAATAGAAACTCTGATTCATCACTGTTCTGAACAAGCCTAAAAGACATCGCTTTGGGTACTCATATGATTACATGAGTTAGAATTAGAAGGAATTTTTTGAACAATGCACAATAGATTTCTAAATTTGGGGGGAACTGTGTGAGAATCTCAACACCTGCAACTTCTGTGCATGAGCTGCAGTCCTTCTGCAATTCCAATCTCTCTCTTTTCTAGACATAAGTTATTTGTGTACTTTTTATTCCAAAGAAAAAAAATATTCTACTTGTCCCAGCCACCAAGAAAAGGGACATTTAAGATGTTTTGCCATCAGCTTAGTGTTTAATCAGCGCAAGCAGTTATAAACGTGTGTGTACAATATGGCTTGAACAGATGACTAAAAAGCACACGGAAATTTGTTATGTAATCTCTTATTTCTCAAAGCATCATGTGTTGATTTCTGACAAAATTTCCATTCTTCAAATGGTACACTGTGCATTTGAACTACACGGGTCTAAGGGCATGATTCCTACAAAGAGCATCTAGTTAGTCACTCACATGCTGCAACAGGACAATATCTGGATCTGTCTGCCAGAAAGCTAATAAATTTGTACTTCTAAATTATTCATCAGAGCATCAATTAAATGTCACTTACATTTGAAACTCTACCAGGTAGAATAGCTCTGAAGCCAAGCTTGCACATTCGTGCTTCTATGAGTCCATGCCATACATTTCAGACTCAGCTTTTTTCTTCCTGCTCTATGATGAGATTATTAGGTTAGCGCAATCTGTCTTAACCTAATAATCTCATCATAGAGCAGGAAGAAAAAAGTGAGTCTGAAATGTAGAGGACCACCATCTAGTAGTCTTAATGGAACAAAATTAAAGGACAAAAACTGCAAGAGTTGTGTTCGTTCGTTGTCCTTCTGTAATAAAGAAAGGGTAGCCTTGCTTTGGTATCTCATTATTCTAATGGGGTCCCTCCACCCCCTGCTTACGCGGGGAGCCAACCAACCTAGATAATTGGATTGGTGGCACTTCTTTGGCTATATTTATTTGAAGTAGTGCTGGCTTTCATGTAGATCTTGTAAATGACTCCTAGAAACTGGATACATACACTATCAAGGAAAAAAGATACTTGTGAAATTTATTACAGTGTTCTGAACTTTTGAAATGGTTAAGTAATTTTTTTTTCAGATTGGAATGTATTTCTGTATTAAGAATGTTATGAGAGAAGTTCCTCGTAGTGCGCTTCTTTGATTACCTACCACCAGTAATGTTACATGGGATGAGGTGTAATAAAAGATTGTTATTCTATATGGGAAGATGAACTGAATTTGGAACGCTAATATGGTTCACTTGTAGCTTATTTTCGTGGTCTAAAACAAATCACGAGATTTTCTGAGTGTTGGTGCTTTGTCTATAAACATGAACTGTAAGAACAATCATTCTTGTCACATGTGTGGATTAGCTCAGCAGAACTCAGCCAATCATATTCTAAATGAAATGCCCACCAATCATCCATTGATAGTTTGTGCAAAGCTGAACACTGGTAGAGAGAACAATCTTTAGCTGTTTGCCAACAGGAGATTCTAATTCGTAGCTGGGAGAGCAAGTTGGCTAGTAATTTAGTTCTTTTTGTAGTTCATATAATTTGTAGGAATGGATGGGTATATCTGTTTATGTGCATTCTAGCATGGTTCAATATAAACAAAATTGCTCACTTGCTCAGTATGGTTTAATATAAACAAAAATATGTTGCTGCACTAAGTAAGAATTAGCTTGCATAAGTTTAATGATGTTGGGACAAAATAAGGAGACGGACAAGTTTGTCTTCTGTTGGTCCAGTATGGTCCTTCCTCTTCTTCGCTATTTACTTTACAATATGCTTGCTTCTTGTTATGGTCGGCCGGACCTATGAACGCAAGAGACGCCACAGCAGTGGCTGAGTCGGCTGCACCAGGGGGTGGAGCCGGCTGATGGCTGAGTCACAAGTAGTTTATTTGAGTCAGTTAGTTTGTTAGATCACAGGAATAATTGGTGTGGAGTTTGTTAGCTGCATGTTAGTTTGTTATGCATGTTTAGTTGTTATCCCTAAATTAGTGGCATGCTTGTATCAGCCTATAAGGCAAACCATTCGATGAATGAAGGAGGAGGACCTGGGATTGAGACTCACCGCTCCCTTGGGTCCCAGCCGAAAATACTGTTCACCGTCACCTTCTTGTCATCCAGAGTCCAGGCGCCGGTCACGGCGCCCGCCATGGTTCGCCGCCGAGGTTCACACCACGGCCAGCCACCACCCACTCCTACTTCCTGCATGAAGTCGTGACACTTCTTGTTTCAGGTGACAAAAGTACAAAACTAAGTGTTTTCTGTATGATAATGACAACTTACCAGTTTCTGTTGTGTTCCTTCATGCATGGACTAACGCACAATAGCCGTGAAATGTTCAACAAATGGCAAGCACAAAGATGGTGGACTGAAAATTACGAGAAGGTCATGGAGCTTTACAACGTTCAGAAGTTCAACAGTCAAGCTGCTCCTCTGCCAAGCATTCCAAGGTCTGAAAATGAGGTAAGAGCCTTTGAATCACCTTTCAAGACGTGATTATTTGAAGCATGCCTTCTTATGTTGTCCCCTGCTGTGTCATGGCTTGCACTTCATGCAGAGCTCCAAAGGCGATAACCCAGCTACAGCTCCCCTTAACAAGGGCAGCCACTGCATACTTTGCACAGACCACTAAAAGCTAGTGGAGCCATAGGATATTCATCTTCAGATTGTCTTCAGCACCAACCCAATCATCTTGGCAACATTTACCGCCAAGACCGCTACCTTGGGCACCAATGCTATGATTCAGTTGGACTGGCATCAACGCCTAAGTTATCAAGCATTAGTGGAGCAAAGACAGAAACTTCTATTGATGCATCAGTGAGGACAAGCTCATCTCCTGAAGAGATCGATCGATCAGGTGAACTTTCAGCCTCTGTTAGTAACAGAAGTGACCAAGAGAGGAATGGGTAGAAGAGGACGAGTCTGGTGTGTATATTACTATTCGAGCTTTGCCTGGTGGCATCAGAGAACTACGTCGCGTCAGATTCAGGTTTGCTGTTTTCTGCTTATGATCATGGTTTTTGGATGGATTACCTTAGTGTGTGTGTGAATAGAACTATTATCTCCCTGCAATTATTATGTGCTCATTGAGAGCCTGGACTTTTGCAAAGATATTGCTACTCAATTTGCAAACTAAACTTGTATCAACAATATATAGTATGAATGAGATTACTTTTAAGAACACATTGGTTGACTATAAAATCGAGAACCTCTGTCCTTTTTTTTATATGGTTAGAGAACTTACTCTTTTCTGTCTGTTCTTTGTGCACCCGGGAGAGATTCAGTGAGATGCATACCAGGTTGTGGTGGGAAGAAAACCGAGCGAGGAGACACGAGCAATGTCTCTGAGAGAAGACGTGTCAATTACATTTTACCATTCGCTACTTCTACCATCGTAGAAACATCTCTGTACATCGGGCACTAACATCGTGTCATCAGGTTTGCTCCTTGCTGGCGCAACAATGACCCTGGGCAGCTAGGACTGTTTGCATTGCGTGTGTGAGTGTGACAGGACTGACAGTGGGCTTCGAGGCTTATTTTTTTTTCTTTTCTTTTTGTATCTAACATTTGCTCGACGGTTTATGTGAGAAAAAAAATTGAGAAATTGTACCTTTTTATATCAGCCATAAGTTGCTGTTTTGGAAAACAAAACTGGACTGATGGCTTCATGATAATCACTGAATTGACGCATGATAATTTTTAAAACTGATGGCTAGTCCAAGCATGAGCACTAGTGATTCTCCGCATGTAAAGTCATTTTCGTGCATCAAAGAACAGAAGCTTTGAGAGAAATTGTTTATTTGCATTAGTCTTAATTTGTATTGGATTTTATACGGTACTCTCTTTGTCCTAAAATAACCACGAATTTTGCTTCTCATCCGCTTCCTGAGGAGTGACTTTTTATTTTAAAAAATAACTAGGTACATAGAAAATAATATTAATATTTATATCTCCAAACAAGTTTATTATGAACGTATATTCAGCGATCAATCTAACGATAGTTATAATAAATATAGTATCTTTTTTTATATATTTGGTCAAATATTAAAATGGTTGACTCCTTAGAAAGCAAGATATTCGATTATTTTGTGACGGAGTATATCTAAGCTAGCATAAATGTATGCGATGTCTTTTGTTTGGTTATTCTGCACAAACAAACTATAGTTGGTAAGATTATGTTTGGTTCATTATATTATGTTGCACGTGGTCACCAACATGTGCTAGGAGTCTCATGTTCTAAATTTCTAATCCAGGTGGAGGAGGTGAAGATCCTGCATTTTTTGTGTTGACCCGTTGATTTGTGCAAATCTGTATTGACTAATATGATTAAATTTGGCGTACTAGTAGCTAGTGTTGTGTTGGACTTTAAGCGGCATGCAAGCCTCTATAAAGAGTCTTTTCGGGGAATCAAACATGGATAAATTTTGCATTGCCAGAGTTCATCATCAACAAGATCGTAAATGAGGGACAGCCAAAGATCAAATCAGAATTCTACTCATGATATAAGCAGCTGACATGAACAAGACCAAATTTGCAATAGCTATTAGACTATTACTCCTGTTTTCTAAGTACAAACTCTCCTCCAATCACAGCATATGGTAATTCAAACCTTATCAGATATGCATACAGTGAGGACTGATGACCAAACAAAGAACCACGCCCTAAGCTACAATTTACCTCCAAGTCTATTTGCGCACAAAATTACATTTTACACAAACGTTCCCACGCTGAAAATCCTTTTCCTCTAGGCCCTCTTATGGCCGTGATATCTCCATCGGCCTCGCTTCGCCGAGCACACGCCCTGAGCCGCCTTTCGCTGCCTCGACGTCGTTTTCTTCGCCGTCACCATCATCATCGTCTTCTCCATGGTCGTTTCCCTAACCAGCGGCACGTACCGCGGCTCCTCCTTGTAGAGGCTGCACATCCGGAGGTAGAGCGCGACCACGAGCACGACGGTGGCGGACAGGTACCAGCTGAACTGCAGGTTGACGAGCGATTTGGCGCGGGCGAGCGCGCCGCCTTCGTCGCGGCACCGCGCGACGTCGTGCCCGTCCTCGTGGCTCAGGACGCATCCCTTGGGCAGGAGCGCGGGCGTCCACAGCATGACACCCATGGCCACAAACCAGACGCCCTGGAGCACCAGGCTCGCCGACCGCACCAGGCTCACCGCGAAGCTCCGGGGCGCCGCGACGCCGAGGACCGTCGTGGCGAGCGTGACGGCGACGACGCCCTGCAGGAGGAGGTGGTACTGGCCCTCCACGCCCACGTGGTCCGCCGAGTGGAGGTGGAACAGCATCAGCTCCTGCGCGAACGCCGCGGCGGCGGCGAGCTGGGACACCGCGTCCCGGCAAGGCGCCGCCCGGCCGGCGCGGTCGAGGAGGATGGCGGACGCGGCGTAGACGAGCAGCGCGAGCGAGATGGACGCGTGCTCGAAGTTGTGGAGGTGGTCCGAGGGCACCGTGCCGTCGTCGTCGAACGGCTGGTGCCTCGCTGGGCCGACGATGAGCTCCATGAGGATGGACGCGACGGCGCCGGCGATGACGAGAATGAGCTCCAGGTGGCGCGCGCCGCGCACGGGGGAACCAGACGGGCGCGACGTAGGAGCCGGGACGCAGCAGGAAGAGCCTGATGTGGTTGTAGAGGTGCCATAGGCCGACGACGATGAAGCCCACGCCCGGTGCGACGTGGCCGACGAGCGTGCCCATGACGCGCCGGCGTTGATCGAGTTGGGTTGGGTCTCTGCTTATTCTCCGGTGTGGGCGTGTAGGAGAGCAAGGCAGCAAGCGATGGTGTGGCCGTTTTGGGTTTGAGGTCTCCGGGTTTTAAGATGGTTCGACTACGGCTTGGAAGGTTTTACGAGCTTCTTCCGTTGAGTTGGACTTTGCATTTTGTGCACGTGCCACACTCTTCTCTCTAGAACATTTTTTTTACCAAATTTTGTTTAGGCGTTCTTGTGTGGTATTATTTACTGGTATATAACGCTAATCTAAAAATTTGTCACGTACCTCGTACCATTAATAAAAACATGTACTTTGCTGGTGGACATTGTAAGGAATATGAACCCGGGCAAGGGTTTAGTGATTTTGATAGTTAATTATCAACAATAATAACATGGACTAACAACGTGTGCTATGGACTAACAACGTGTGCTAGTATATAAGGTATATTAGCCCGTCGGATATAAAGATGAACTTGAGCTAGACTAAAGTGAAGATCTCAAGCAATCAACATATCTACAGCCTGTTCGCTTGGTCGTAAATGATCGTAAATTTTCAGCCAAAACAGTATTTTTCTCTCACACAAAACCAGCCAGCAGTAATAATCCACGATCGTATACGATCGTTTCGGCCCCAGCCGAACAGCGTGCTAGATGATAGAACTTATTTAGCAACTCAGTATAGGTGCTCACGCATTTCAGCTAGTTAAGTGCCGATGGACAAGTAATATAACCTTTAATATATTTGTTAGAATCTTAAGATTTTCAGCTCAATTTCTCGGATATGTTTATAAAGATGAGAGTGTGAATATGTATAAGCTCAAACCTCCTGTTGTTTTTCCTACGTACGGAAAGTCAAATGCAACTCTTTCTCTCCCCACGCCCACCCCCCACCCACGTTCATCTGACTTGACAAATAGAACTTTCGGACGAACCGAATGGCTCGCTGGAATCATGTTAGCTAGTATAGCAAAGTCAGATTAAATTCCACGTAGATAGAGGCAGCGCCCATAGAATCTCTCTCTCACACACACACGAATAGAGATTAGCATCGTCTCGAATGGTGGTGTTCAAGTCATTTGCTCTCTTGACCAAAACAATAACGGTCAAATCAAGTAGCCTATATCTATCGGCGGTGCTATTCCCCGGACGGACGCTCGTGTCCGGACTCCGACGCCTGCACTCGTTTCGCACGCCTCACACGGGGCCCGCCCCGCCCCGAACGTCACTGCATCGAGAAGAGGGGGAGCGGGCAGTGCCCGCCTGTGCCTCTGATTCGGATGCCTAGCCGACGCTAGGAGGAGGCGGAGACACCGAGGCGAAGCAGCAGAAGGTGAGGGGGAAGATGCAACACCTGATCTATTTTTAAAACATCCAGATACAACACTTGCAACATATGTCTGAAGACAGATGAAACACTTGAAACATGCACCTGAAACACTTACAAAAATACCTGAAAAACACTTGAAACAATTGTAAAATATACGCAACATCCAGATAAAATACTTGCAACATATGTGTGAAACATATGCAACATCCAAATAAACACATTTACAACATACGTCTGAAAAACAGATAAAACATGAGGAACAGAAGCTTGCAACATATGTGTACAACCATTTCAACATATGCAACATCCCGATTTTACTTTTGCAACATCCATATGAAACACTTGCAACATACCTATGAAACGTCTAAAACACTTGAAATATAGGCTTACAACATGCCCTTTCATCACACTATCTCCTTGCTGCTTGCAAATAGAGGCTCGTCGGCGCATGGAGTTTACCGGTGGCATGGAGCCCGCCACTCCGGTGGAGAAGGCCGCGGAGGTCTGGTGGAAAAGGCCACGGCGGGTCCGTGCGCTGGGGAAGGCCGCGGCGGTGGGAGGTGTAGTGGAGAGGGAGGAAGACCGGCTGTCGCGCTTGGGCGAGGTGGAGATGTTGGCTAGCGGAGCAGAGGCGCGCGAGAGAGAGAGAGGCGCGAAGGAGAGGGCGGTCACCGAGGCAGCGCGGCGGAGCACGGGCGCGGCGCTGCGGCGAGGTGAGTTTTTTAGAACAGTTGCGGGGCGACCAGATGATCAGATAAGAGGTTGTGGTTGGGTTAGCGTCGCGGCCTAGCAATGGAGCGTCTGGGCATTCGGACGCCTGCTTCTCTGAATTAATGTATATCTATATCAGAGCAAATTGAAGTGAAAGGAAACATGGCCAAATAATTGGCTTGTGAAATTAGCGTGTATCTCAGCTGGTTTGGTTTCTTATGATAGAATTTATCTATCCAAATTTAAGTTTTGACTTAATGCAAGTGTCGATTTAACATCGTTATTTTCTTAGCGGTGAGCGACGCGTGTCCGTTGACATCAAGGCTTATATGGTGAATTTGTTAATCTATATCTCTTATATTTTTAATCTCCACTAGTATTCTATCTCATCATACAAGATATTTACATCAGCATTCACTAGCACATTCCACTAGCACATGCAAGTATATCTTCATTCAAGCTATTTACATCAACAAACCACAGCATTCACTAACATATATTCAATTGTCTACATCAGAGTGCTACGTCATTCACTAACATATTTTATGATATTTATTCGTCCATATAAGTAGTATGATTTTATCGTATGTGTTTTTTCGCAATAACGCGCGGGGTATTCTTCTAGTTGTAAGATATGTTGGATCAATCTTTTAAAGATAGGGTGAGTGTCTACGTGTGTGATTCGTGAAAAAAAAATTGACTTCTTCGATTAAACGTCTAGAGAGGCCGCGTGGAAAAGATGAGGATGCCCGCACTTACTAAACAAGTATGTATAATTATATCAATCTCTTTTTACAAAGCCTTCAATTTTTTTATATAAATAAAAAAAGTCACTTGGTATAAGATTCCTGTGTGCTTCCCAAACGAGAGACCACGGTTTCGCTCATCATGACTTTTATTTCATACCCTACCATCGGTTGCTTTCGCAAGAAAAAGCTCTTTCAAAGTTCAAATTTGGTGTCCGGTGGTCTAGCTTGTACTACTATAGAACACTACTATAAATCCGCTTCTCATTATCGGTTCTAAACTATCAGTTTAAAATCAGCAGTGAACAAGAGGCAATGATAGTAGTGTAAGAAAAATGGCATTTACACTACCACAAAATTGATTTTAGACAAAGGCACTTAGAATGGTGTTAATTGATTTTTTTTAGAGAAAGGCACTTAGAATGGTTGTATCTGTTAATAGCAAACTTTAGAGATAGGTGTAAATCGATGATTAACAGAGACGGGCATCTTAAATGATTTCCAGAGGCAGCCATTTGCTTGGAGACCGCCTAACCAGAGGCGGTTACTAATTATGACGTTCATTAAAGAGATTGTGTACTAATGGTAGTGTAAAATCAATTCTAAAACTGGTAGTTTAGAACAGATAATGAGAAATGGATTTAAAACTGATAGTTTAGAACCAATAATGACCTTCTCTAGAAATAGTTACATCTAAAAATAATCTTAACTTTTTCATATCAATTTAGATGAAGGCGAACTTTATATCAAATTATAGCCATCGACGTGACCTACAACTTTGTACCACCCTGTTCGTTTGGGCTTGTTTGGCTTATAAGCCGTACTTTTTCAGCCAACGAACAGTATTTTTCTCTCACACTAAATCAGCCAATAGTACTTTTAGCCATGGCTTATCAGCCAAACAAACCCAAGCGAACAGGGCGTAGTTGAGAAGTTTTGGATTGAAACTATTTAAGATAAAACAACATTTTTACTTCTTGTTGCTAGTAAAATATACTTTTCATCTTTCTCCATGTTGCTAGTACGAAATACACATGCATAATCAGCCTGTTCGGGAGGCCGTATCGTATCGTGAATTATTTACTGGGTAGCTGGTTTGGTGTGAGAGAAAAACACTGTTCCTGGCTGGAAATTTACGATCGTTTACGAGCAAGCGAACAGGCTGAATATATGTCGCATAGGGGATAGAATAGAATGCATTATGTCGCACCAACTAACATTTTTACCTGTACACTAATTTTACTTCTTCGTGGAACATTTTTTTTTCTTGTGCTAGAATATGTAGCGGTTCCCTCGGCACTCGCTTGTGGGACAATCTCATGGGCAATCCAATGTGAATCTGTTGCACGTACACACTTTACAAAAGTGACACGAGTACGGTTGACACAAAATGTGACGCACTGTGCCCCATACACAGCAAGCCGGAAAGCGTAGCTTCAATTGGGTGCCCGGGTGCTTCGTGATCCGGAAACGTGCCAGTTAGTTTGATCTGAAAAAAACTAACAAGGAATAAAACAGTTAAATGCCAAACCGGAACATATCGGGTGAGACCAGACAGTTCCATATATACGGCCCTGAAGCCACTTATAATGACATACAGCTATAGGAAGCTATCTGCCAGCAAGTTTATAAACCATTCGGCTAACCGTAAGATGAGCATACGTAAAGATCCGATTGCCGAATGCATGTGCATGGGAAGACATGTTTGAACAAGTGAAATTAATCATGAGTTAATGCATAACCAAGCTCAGCAATCCAGCCGAGTTGGGGTCCATGAAGAAGGAACGTGCAAATAAACATGATTAAACTAATCTAAAACCTACATCTGCCGCACGACACCTAGTTTCGTCAAAGCTTAAACGTAATTAACATGCATGAACCCACGACATGTGACAATCTAGATTAAAATAATTCAGCCATTACGAGCATGTTATCTATTTGCAAAGGTAATACGAAAGTAATGATCATTGAAGCACGAATAAAACCATAAGAGAGGGCCGAACAATATC